TTTTTTTGAGTTGGAGTCTCACTCTGTCGCCCAGACTAGAGTGCAGTGGCCGCTCCTGGCTACCGCAGCCTCGACCTGCTGGGCTCTGGCGATCCTTCCGCCTCAGCCTTCCAAGTAGCCGGAATTACAGGCATGCGCTACCACACCTGGCTGATTTTTTGATTTATTGTAGAGATGAGGTCTCACCAAGTTGCCCAGGTGGATCTCGAACCTGTGGGCTCAGGCAATCCACTCACCTCAGCCTCCGAAAGCATGGGATTACAGGCTGAGCCACCGAGCCCAGCTTGCTGTTAACTTTAAAGAGCAGAGGATAAGTGAAGAATACTAAATTTGAAGAAAAAGGAAATGATGTATTTGTGCCTTGGGTCACAGAACTCCCCAGACTTGTCTTTGGAATCACGGTTTCTTGAGGGTCTGGGAGAGTGCCGCTGGAGCTTGTTGGCTCAGCTGAGGTTTTTCAGGATTGGGCTTTGAGTGTGGCATGGTTCTCTCTCTGTGCCATGAGGTCAGCTTCCTGCACTGGGCAGCTTGTCAGGTTAGGCAGGGCAAGGGTGAGGTTAGAGCCCCAGGAGTCTGTTCCAGCATGAAGCTGGCCTTTTAGACAGAGCCTGTAACTCCATCCCGTTGTGTCAGATGCTAGAAATACCAGACAAGAACGTAACACAGCACTCTGCAGCCATGGAGGCCTTTCCTGACAGTCCCCAGAAGGGGTTGCTTATCATTCCCTCAGATAGACAGGGAGAGGGAGAGAAGAGACACAGACTCTCTTGGGAACAGGACCTGAGAATGAAACTCGGCAAGTGTTTATCAAGTGTTTATGGAGTGCCTACTCTCTGCCAGGTGCTGGTTGAGGATCAGGGGATAGAGCAGCCAAGGCATGTTGATCATTGCCAGTATTAGGTTTCAGTCTGGCATGGTGAAGATCCAGGCAGAAATCCCTGTTCTGCATCTGACGTGCTAATTGGAAGAAAAGAACTGAGGAAACTGAGGCTCTGAGAGAGGGTGTGGCCTGCTCAGGGTTTGACCTTCCAGAGGCAGCAGGCACAATGTGGAGGACGAGCCTGGGCCTAGGAGCCTGAGCCTCTTCTGAGCCATGTTGCAGACACACCTCCTTACCTCCGAGGGCTGGTATTGCCGATGTATATGTGGTATGTGTAAAACACATAAGCAACTGGTAAAGGTTGCCTTTACTGTTACTGTCAGGATGGCTGTCATAATTTTTATTCTTTATTGTTATTACTGTTACTATTCTAACAGGCCATTCCCCTGTTCTGGAGCTTTGAGCAGTTTCCCCAGAGGAAGAAGGCAGGACGTGCCAAGCGGAAGGAACCACCTCTGGAACTTGTGGAAATTCCATTAGCTGAGGAGCCAGAGCAGTACTGGGGTAACCACGCTCAGGGCAGCAAGAAAGACAGGCAGGGCACGCCCTCTGCTGGAGCTGAGGACTGCGTAGATGGAATCTGGGCCCGCCTTTATTTTACAGATAGGGAACTGGAGGCCCAAAGAAGGGCAGGGTCTTGCCCAGGGTCTGGGGGGAGTGTGGGTTTAAGGTCATGTGTCTCATTCCTTGCTTTTTCTACTACAGGACATCTTTCTGTGTCACCTGTCTGACCTTTGAGTGCCCCTAATCCATTCCTTAGGTGTCTCCTCTGAACTAGGTGTTGTTGGGGGATGTGGGCCCAACCTTCCATATGATCACCCCCTCTTGCACACACACACACACGTTCACACATAGTACATATGTGCATGCATGTGTGAGCCCAGACACATGTCCACACACATACACACACTTGTGCATACACTCACATGCATACACACACCTGAGCATTTACTGACTGAGCTTCACCCTAAGTGCTCTCTGAGTACTGTCTGCCAACATCATTTACCTTCTAAAAGCGTTACACATGAACTTGGGTTTATAAAAACTTCAACCGTTACAAAAATATAGACTTGGAAAGTGAAAGTTCCCCTTAACCACAAAGAACCACAGAAACTGGGTTTATTTTAGCTGTTGTTTTGCAACCTGCATCTTTCTGTTGTCAGTTTATCTGAGACATCATGCTCTGTCAGTACAGGCCCATCTGGCATGTTGCCATCTTGTCTTCCTATCTTTTTTTTTTTTAGATTGGAAAATCTAGTTTATTTAGAAAGTAGACTGGAGGATGGGGAGGGAGAGAGAGAGAGAAAATATTCACCTCCCCAAAATAGAGGAGGGGCCCAAAGCTAGAAAAACATGGCGGCTATAGCTCAAAGAACACTTGATCGGACCAGAGCTTAGCAAAGCAATGACCATCTTCTTATCTTTTTACTGACACATTGTAATTGTATGTATTTCATAGAGTACAGTTTGATGTTTGGGACATATATATGTTGTAGACTGATCAAATCAGGGTGGTGTGTCCATTTATCATTTCTTCCTGGTGATAACATTCAGGAACCTCTCTTCCAGCTATTTGGCAATATACAATGCCTTATCCTGAGCCATCCATTACCCGCTATGCAGTAGAACAGAGCTTATTCCTCCTATCTAATTGCAACTTTGTACTATTGACCAGCCTCCTCCCATCCTTCTCTCTCCCTTCCCCTCCCCAATCTCTGGTGATCACTTTTTTGTTCTTTACTTCTAGGTTCAATTATTTTGTATGCTTGTTTTTTTAGATTTCTCATGAGTGACATTTTGTGGTATTTGTCTTTTTGTTGTCTGGTTATTTCACTTGACATATCCTCCAGGTTGATCCGTGTTATCACAGATGGCAAGATTTCATTCTTTTTAATGGCTAGATAGTATTCCCTTGTATATATGCACCACATTTTCTTCATCCATTTGTTAGTTGTTGAACATTTGGGCTGACTCCATGCCTTGGCTACTGTAAATGGTACTGCAGTAGTCATAAGAGTGCAGATGTCTTTGATAGACCAATTTCACTTCCTGTGAACATACACCTAGTAGCTGGCTCATGTGGTAGTTCTGTTTATAATGTTTTGAGAGGCCTCCATTCTGCTTTCCATAATGGCTGCATGGCATGTTTCTTTTTTTAACGAATACTTCCTAATTCATGTAATGCCTCCCTCCTGGGGGACATTGGGTGGCTTCCTGTAGATCGCTATGACTGACCATGTACAGTAAGCATCCTTGCCCTGCAGAGAGCATTGGCATTTGCCAGTGTGTGTCTAGAACTGGAGTTGCTGGGCACACCCCACTGGACCATGAACTTTGAAGTCAGGCCAGTGTTTAGATCACCCCTCTACGTCCTAATCCAGCATCTGCCAGTTAGCCTGAGTTCATGGAGTTACTGTGATTTAGTTGCCTTCAGAAAACCATAGGTGCCAGATGAGAGCTAAGAGTAGCCCCCTAGCAAATACACTTTTTGTTAATGTTGCAGTGATACTTCTTGTTGGTGAGACCACAGTTAGATGGGTACTCTTGTGGGCTGCTGTGGGGATGAACTTAGGAAAAGTACTGAAGTGGTATGGCTTTTTTCTGCCAACTTTCTGTTATTATAAATACTACTATGCCATTTGGAAAGGCAACTTGGAAGTGTGTCAGAAGTCTAAAACTTCTTTCACCCTTCCCCTTAGCCCAGCAATTCTGCTTCTAGGAATATGTTCTTAGAACATAATTAGGGATGGGCACAGAGACTGACATAAAGACCCAGTGCCATCGAGGGTGGTGAAAAGTTGGAAAGTATCTCTCTGTGTTCATGGAGGGGCTAGTTCTAGAGTAAATCAGGGCACGTCCAGGCATGCTGACACAGAAGTCATGTGGAGGGAGCCTTACTGCATGTTCTGAAGTGTTGTGTACCTTAAGTGTACAGTGCGACCCCAGCGGTTTCTAAATGCTGTGATTCTCCTATATGTGTAGCTTTCTCTTCTCTCACAGCTGTGTTCGCAGCTACCAGGCTGCAAAAACTCCTTGTTGCCCGTCTTTCCTGCCCGTCCCTCTTCTAAGCTCTAGCCTACTACCTCCTGACCCTGCTCTGGCTCTCCCCAGGAGGGCTCCCAGGCATCTCAGCCACCATGGCCCAATAGGTCTTCACTCCCCAAAGTTTTCCTCCTCTCTCGGTAAGCCGCATTCCCATCCACCTACTCACACTGGAAACCTGAATTCCCCTCCAGGCCAACACTAAGCCCTGTTGACTTGTTCTCCAGACTACATCTAGCTCTTTCTCACCACCACCGCCTTCTTCCACCACCATTTCTGCACTTGAACTTCTGCAGGAGCCTCCTAACTTGCCCCTTCCCAACCCTGTTCCACCCAGACACCAGAGTTATCTTTGAAAATGCACAGCTGACCGTTCATGACCTGGCCTAAAGACCCTTGATGACCAAGTTGCAGGTGTGGTCTGGCTCCTCCCCACCTCAGCAGTGTCCTCAGTGTCACTGCCCCCTCCCGCCATACTCCCTTGCCAGCTCTTTCTGTGTTTCCATCCCACCATGCCATCCTTCCTCAGAGCCTTCACACATGCGTTCCCCTCTCTGTAATGCTCTTCCCTTCACTCTTCATCATCCATAGATCTCAGTTAAAATGTCACCTCCTGACCCACAGCCCTGGCTACTTCCTGGTGGTCACCCCACACTCTGCATTCTCCCTTGAAGGCCTGAGCACCAAGGCCGTGACTTGTGGACACTAGGTGATTGCATGCCACCCCCAGTAGATGGCATGCTCTGTGAGCGCAGGGACCATGGTCGACTTGTTCCTTTTCACACCTCGCCAGTGCCTTACATGTGGTCTTGATAAACATGTTCGTGATTACAGTAGCTTTACTCAGAGAACAGTCTGAACCTGTGCTTATTAAAATGTCGATGGTGGGTGTCCTGGGTGTGGAATTATGGGTGACTTATTTTGTTCTTTAGACCTTTCTGTGCCTTGTGCGTTGTCTTCCGTGAGAAAGCCAATGCCTGTCATTTTGTCAGAAGCCATCAGGGCAGGGAACTGGAGTGGGGCCTTCTCTGCAAGGTGCATCTGGACCCACCTCTGCCCATCACCCCTGTCCCCACAGGCCTGAGGAGCGATGCGAAAGGCATGATGGAGGTCGAGTCCTCCTACTCAGACTTCATTTCCTGTGACCGGACGGGCCGCCGGAACGCGGTCCCTGACATCCAAGGAGACTCGGAGGGTGTGAGCGTGAGGAAGCTGGCCGGAGACATGGGCGAGCTGGCACTCACAGGGGCAGGTGAGACCAGCGTATCCTCGGTATTCCTGCATGTGTGAGGCCCACTGCTGCTTCCGAGCTGGTCTCCAGGTCTTCAACAGCCCACCAATTCTTAGAAAATAAACTGTCCCATGGCCAATGACAGAGTCCAGCCAATCTCTAGACTGCAGGGTGCCAGCGTCTCAGGCCCCAAGGATTCCCTGGCTGGGCATCCAGGACTCTTCCCTTCTTGCACCCTAGTCTCCCCACAAGTCCTATCAGGTCTCCAAGGCACAGCCCAGCTCTCCACTTCTTGCCATCCCCACTGCCACCACTGGCTCCAGCCACTTCCAGCTCCCACCTAGCTGGCTGCGGTGGCTTCCTGGCCTATTCTGCCCAACTGCAGCAGGGTCCATCATGCTTCTGCCAAAAACCCCAGGGTATCACCCTCAGAGTGAAGCCAAACTTATCACAGTGCCCTATTGCAGCCCTGCCTTGGGCCCAGGCCCTGCCTGCCTCTGGGGGCTCACCTGATGCCACCCTCCCTCACCCTCTAGCCACACCTGCCTTCAGTCTGTTTCTCATCGGGGCACACACGGGTCTTCCCCCTTCAGGAGCCTTGTCTCAGTTTCTTCTGCTAGAACATTCCTGACCCAGTGCCATACTGCCACCTCCTCATCCTCAGGCTGGAGCTCAGATACCAGGAGCCCCAAGGAGCCTTCCTTGACAGCTGAGTCATTCCCCCAGTCACGTAGCCTTCATCACTCTCTGACAGGGTCTCATTTGTTTAAGTGTGAACTCCAGAGAGCAAGGCCTCTGTTCTATCTGACACACAGCAGGTGTCTGGTAACCACAATTGAATGAATACTAGAGGAAGTGTGGCACCTGCCACCCAAGTATTGCCCAGGAAGTCCCTACTTCTCTCTCCCTCCCTCCATTCTCCCATTCTCTGCTTGGCTCAAGTCCTTGGTCATCCAGGGACCTTCCTCTGAGAAGCGCTCCTGACGCCTGCTCTGGCCAAGGCCTTTCCTCCCTGCTCCCACCGCACCACAGAGGCTGTTGCATTGTTTCTCACAGTGCAGTGCTCGGGCTGAGTCTATCTCCCCAAGCTGTCCTTGAGGGACCATGGCCCTGCCTTGCCCTGTGTAGCCCCAGCCTAGAACCCTTGGCCCACACTGGCCAGAAGCAGCCTATGAGTCAGAACAGAGAAGACCGTAAGGCCACAGCCACAGCCACAGCCCTCTGATGCTCTAGATGGCCCGACTGAGGCCCAGAGGAGCTAGGTGCTCATGTTACCCAGCGAGACAACACAGGAGAGGGATCTGGTGGCCCGAGAGAGAGCCCTCTGGCACCCTAGCACCCTGCCCACAGAGGTCCACCCCCACCCCAAGCCCTCCCTGTGCGAGTGGTCTGTCAGCCTTCCCTTGTCATGGACCCGGACTCCTCACCAGACCAAGCCTCCATGGGGCTCACCCTGCTCAGCTCTCCAGCCTTAACTCTCATCTTCCTCCCCTGGTGCCTGCCTCTAGCCACAGTAAGTGTTGCTATCCCTTACGTGCCCCCAGTGGGCCTACCATGCCGCACTCTGCTGGTGGTTCCTCCCTCCCCTTGCCTGACTGACTTCTCTCTTTTCCTTGAGACCCAGACATCTGCTCTGCTGAGAAGCCTTCCCAGACCCGGCGCCCCTCCCCACGGGGAGGCGCCTCTTCTCCCTGCGGCCTCGATGCCCACTCGCACAATGCCCCCTTCTAGGCTGCGCTTCTCCAGCACAGGGTCTGTGTCTTGTGCCCTTGGTGCCTGGTGCTGTTTGGCACATGATAGAGTTGCCTCGTCAACAGCCATTCACTGACTGACAGAATGATCGCATGCCTGCTGTCACACTGGGCCTGTTGCCAGAGGCTGTCTTGAGGCTGATGTATCCTTCCCTTTAGCTCTGGGAACCTTTGCTTTTGGTCTCCTGGATCTCAGCAGTTGTAGCCATCTGTCTAGGTACCCCATTGAACTCAGAATTCCTGAAATGGGGGTCCTTTGGGTACGTGACATTTCCTGCCAGGCTGCCTGACACTTAAAAGGGAACCTGAAGACAGATCGGTGCTCACTGCAAGGAATGGTAGCACTTCTGGGGAATCCAGGCAGGAGTGACAGCCAGGGAGCTCCTGGAGGTCCCCAGTTTGTAGTTCCATTTTCACAGGCAGGACTGGGGCCAGGCTCAGTCCAGCAGACTCACCAAGGCAGCAGGCACACGGGGTACTTGGCACTGCCCCAGAGGTTCTGATGCAGCGTGCTCAGGAGAGGGTCTCAGGGCCTCTGCTTAGAGCCTCCCAGGAAATGGATGCAAAGCCAATGCAGATGAAAGGGAGTCACAGTCTTGCCTAGCTGCCCAGCCTCCCCAAGTCTGTGTTTGCTAACATTCCCCAAGCGTGTTTTGTGCAAAGTTTTGACTCTCATTGATATTCCCTTATGTGGGGAGCACAGATGTGTCCTTAATTTACCTAATAATGAAAGAAACAACAGACTAGCCCTGAAGTGTGAGTGCCCTGCCCAGCTCTGTGGAACATTTTCTGACTGCTCTGAAACTGGCCCCAAGGGAGTCCCTAGGGTGCTGGCTGGAAAGTGCTTGGGAACCTTCTCTCTGGCCAAGGGAGAGCCAGGCCTGGCACAGAGGATGGGTCACTAATGGCTGGGCCATTTCCACATCTGGGCCCTGCACCCCATCATGGTCTGGGTGGAGATGATCACCGTCCTCTTTATAGATCAGGAAGCAGAGGCCCAGAGAGAGTAAATGACTTGCCTGTGGTCCCACAGCAAGGAAATCACACAGCAGACATCACGGGGGAATTAAAAGAACCTTCCTCCTTGTGGGGGGTGGGAGGCTCAGGGCCAAACAGGATATCACAAGGTAGAACTCTTGCCTGAAAGGGTCTAGTTGGTCAGGCTTCTGGAGGGCCAGAGGAACCTTCTGGGACCTGAGCCTTTGTCAAGGCACCAGCCCAGGAAAGGAGGTAGCCTGAGGGGCAGGTGGAGATGGGGGGACACAGAGGTCGGCACAGTCTTGAGGGGCCAGACATCCAAGTTCTGTCCACACCACTCACTGCCACTACTGCCTGCTTCCTGAGACTGCTGCAGGGCACAATGAGGTAATGCCAATGTCAGGCCAGTATGAACCCTTGAGAATGCTGCTTATTGGAAGAAGTTAAATTTAGTGGAAGGGGCACTAGCCTTGGTAGCAGACAGGATCCTCTGCCACTTGATCCAGGCAAATTGATTCGAGGAGCCTCAGTTTTCTTATGTGATGACACTGCCATGTTGTATGCATGGCATGAAAAAGTGCCCATCCACCCACAGACCCTGGAGTGGTACAGAGTGGTGGTTTTCCTTAGTTATGTGAAGGGCTTAGCTGGAAGAACGCAAAGGTGTATGATCTGGCGAGGGTTGAACGCAGACCCTCGATGAGCCTGCAGGGCACCTGGTGGCATTGCACAGTATTGCTGAGGTTTAAGAACCATCCCCACAGATTGAACTTTGCCCACATGCCAGGCCTCATGTGGGGCACCTCATGGAAAGATGCCTGGGTACCATGCAGCCTGAGGAGGAGAACACGGAGACTGGCAGCCCAAGCATGAGAGTGGCACTCTCCTCACCCTGCACTTCTAGTCCAGTGGGTAGCAGGGCCTGCCTGTCTTGCCCTTGCACAGTGGGGCTCGAGAGAAGCTGGGAGTCAGGAGACCCAGCTCGTGCCCTGACCCTCTCGCCAAGTGGCTCTATACCGGTGAACCTGCTGCCTCTAATCCCTCATCCTTTTGAGGTTTCCAGGATGGGCTGGAGAGGAGGAGACAGCTGGCAGTGTGCTAGGTGAGGCCCTAAACACACACACACCTCCCATGATGTACGTCGGCACCTGTGAGTCACACCCTGGCCCTCTGTGGGCTGGGTCAGGCTCTGAACACACACACACACACACACACACACACACACACACACACTGAACACACACACACGAACACACACACACTGAACACACACAAGTGCATCTCTGCTGTAAAGATTAAGATGTTACAGACCAGGCCACCTCTCCCTCCGAGACCAGCTCCTCCGTTATCCTTTTGGCTGGGCCCTCCCACCTCCTTCTGTGCTTTACCCTTGAGTATGTGCCCAAGAAAAACCTGCCCCTCTTTTCTCCTCTGCAGAAGGACAGGCGGAGGCGAGCGCCCCAGACAAGGAGGCTAGCACCCAGCCCCAGAGCAGCGATGGCACCACCTCATCTTGAGTTCGACCTTGTCCAGAGAGGCTGAAGAGAGATCTGCTGTCCCCTCCTGGGAGGGGAACCCTAACACTGGCCCGGCAGCCTCTTCTCTGAGTCCCATGTCCCAGACAAGCCAGGCTAGACCAAGAGGCTCCCAGAGGCCTTTGTGGCCCCAACTCTGGGAAAGCCCTCTGCCCACACCCACAGGTTCCACGTCCCTCCCACCATCTCACCGTGCCCAGGTACACTTTCAAGACACTGTAGCCACAAGATGTTATTTATTCAGCTGGCACCGGGACTTGGACTGGGCCCTGCCTACCAGGGCGAGCAGCCCACGCAGGAATGTTCCTCTCGCGGGCACCCTGGGCAGGGACCATGTCCCAACACCAGCCCCTCCTCTCCACCCCCAGCCTTCTGGGTCAAGACCTTCTTATCCCTTTTTTAAAACACACTTTTAAACTTTTTAAAAAATTTAAGTTGTTTTTCAGCAGAGGGAGAGAGCTGACAATTCACATTTTTTAAAGCCATTTTAAACCTACACTCTCACATCTCTGCCGCTTCAAGGCCCCTCACGGAGCTTCACAGATCCATGTGTAGGAAAGGGATTTTGTCTAAAACTATCTGACCAATTCTCTGCCCTTTCTACCAAGATAAGTGACACCTAGGACCCAGAAATAAATGCTGATTATTTGTGTGACTGGTTTAAGATTATTTCTCCTTTAAGCAGCAAAAGCAGGGGTCAAGCCTTGTCTTCTCCAAGTCCACAATTAGCTGGGTCTGCCCCAGACTTCCCTGGAAGGAGACTCTGAGAAGATGCTGATGTTCCACTGACAGTAGCACTCCTAGGCTCAGCGTCTTCCATCCATGCCACCCTCTCACTACAGCTAACAGCTTCAGTTATCCAAAGGAAGGTTTTCTTCTCAAAACCTAGGGCAGGAGAGGGCTAAGAGTTCAGGAGCATTTAAGCAGATGGCAGCCAAGTCTGGGAGCCTCAGACTCCATTTCCCCCACACATAAGCCGCTGCCTAAGAGCATGCACCACATACTACCCACTGCATGACACCAGCCGTTGGCTTCTTTATTGAGCACCAGATTTTCAGTATGAGTTGTAATAGAAGGAGGGTTTCAGAGTCAGCCACACCCATCAGCAAGGACTCTGGTCCCTGGCCAGGGCATACACCAGAGGAGATGTGGCCATGCCGAGGTATATGTGTGTACAGAAACAGGCACCCGAGCTTCAAGAGCTTCACTGGCTGACTACAGAAATCACAGTCTTCTTGGAAGGAATAAATGTAAGAGCGTCGTCGACCCCACAGAGTTGCCAAGAATCCACAAGGCGAGGACTTGGAGAGATGGCCATGGCGTCTTCAGGGGTGCTGCCCTGCTTGTCAGTTCAGAGAAGCAGAAAGATCAGGCAACTTGCAGTTCCCAGGATATTGTCAAAGTCATAGAACCCAAGAACTAGAAGACAGCTCCTTTTACAGATGGCAAGACTGAGGCTTAGAGCAAGGAAAGGCCTTGCCAAACCCACACAGGAAGAAAGAACAGAACAGACCCAGGTCCAGCTCCCTGCCCTTGACTTTGGGTAGCCACAGAGATGCCCGGAGCTGTCCAGATCCGTCTGGGCTCCTGGAAGATGCCCCCTTAGACCACCCTCTTGGGGCAACCATTTTACAGAAAATAAGCCAGTCTCATGAGAGGCTGCTCTTAGGCCGGGTCCAGCAACTAGAGTCATCCCACATTCCTGGTGCTGCTCAGGAGAGGAAGGGCATCTTGCTAGAAGTCCCACAGAAAGTCAGGCTAGAGCTAGGGCAGAGAAGCCCAGACAGGAAGATACCTGCAGAGGTGGACGGTGGCATCTCGTAGGCTTTATAGAGCAGCTCCAGCAGCTCCCTCTTCTCATCTTCCGGGAGGAAACTGGACTTGGCTGCATTGATGTTCTGGAAGGGTCAGGATGGCAGACCACACTTGGATCCAGAAAGCAAGGAAGGGAGCCCTTCCAATCTAGTGATAGGCCATACTCCTCATGGAACAGGGTAAGTCAGCTCAGAGGGGGAAGAGGTTTGTCCTAGTCACACGGCAGCAAGCGCCGGAGTCGAGCCCATGGGGTTTTGTGTCCTTCATATGTCAGGGATGTGAGAAGGAAGTTGGAGAAGAGACAGGGTGGCATGTGGGGCGGGGGGCAGAGAGACACTCCCCTGCAGGGGCTGATTCACTCAGCCTGGGTTCTAGGAAAAGCCTGAAAGGTATGTGCAAAATGGCATAGCTGGGCATGCCTTTCTGGGGAGAGGGCTGACAGCTTTCACCAGATTCTATAAGGGTACTCAACCCAAGTAAAGGATGAAAAACCTAGTCTGGCCGGGATTGGTGGCTCAGCCTGTAATCTCAGCACTTTGGGAGGCCAAGGCGAGTGGATTGCCTGAGCCTCCATGTTCAAGACCAGCCAGAGCAACTTGCCAAGACTCATTTCTACAAAAAATCGAAAATTAGTTCAGTGTGGTAATGTGTGCCTGTAGTTCCAGCTACTTGGAAGGCAGAAGGATCGCCAGAGCCCAGGAGGTTGACGCTGAAGTGGCCGTGAGTGTGCCACTGCACTTCAGCCTGGACGACAGAGTGAGACTCCAACTCAAAAAAAGAGAGAATAAAGCCCTATAAGCTTTAAAAAAAAAAAAAAAAGGAAAGAAACCTGGTCGTAGATCATCAGCACTAATTCTGGGTTGGATTGTTCTGGACTGTTGAGGCAGCCTTGCTCCCTGTCTCCAGAGGTTCCAGGCCCCGGACAGGACATGCAGGCCTGCAGGCTTGCAGGACCGAGAGTCAAGGCCACTGCAGCTCACCCACTCACCAGCCTCTTAAACTCCTCTTCGGTAAAGCCCATGTTCTGTTTGACCATCTGGTAATCCGTGTCCAGGGTGGACTTGAAGATGAGCGGGTCATCTGTGTTGAGCGAGTAGTTAGCCTGGTCCTTTCTGAGCCTGCATGAGGGGGAGGGGAGAGGACGCCTCCGTTAACTCCTCTACCCTCTTTTGATCCTCATGGCAACCTCAGACCTGAAAGAGCTGATCCTTGTAGGAGGAAGAAACAAATTCAGAGAACTCAGGTGACTTGTCTAAGGCTACATAACTAGCAATTCCAGGCTCAAGGCCATCCTGGCAGCCCAGAGCCAGCAAGGCAGCAGAGGAGTCTGGCATGAAAGCCCGGTAGAGTGGGGGGGTTGGGAGGCCCAGAAAGCTGCCCTTCAGCCGCCACCCTCTCTAGCCCTCCCCTTCCGCACCCTCCCCTGGGTCATTCCTCAGGCCAACTGGGATCTGGCAGTTCCAACATGCCATGGACGCTGTTCCTAGCACAATCCCAGCCACCATCCTGTTAAACCTAATGGAGCTTTCCTGGCTCTTAACTTGTGTTAGCAAAATTTGACACTGGAACCCCTTCCCTAGCGTTCTCTGACACCACACTCGGCTTTCCTCCTACTTGTCTCTTTTTGCCTGTCCCTTAAATGCTATGTCTTGGGTTCTGTTCTAGGCCCTCTTGCTCCATCTCCGGGGTCACTGCTTCTCCCTTAGCCACTGGATCTGTACAGATGACTTGAATGTTTCTCCAGCCCATGGCTGTGTACCCACGTGCCTCCATGAACCTTCACAGGTGCACACACTCTGTGTTCCTAAGGCAAGCCTCCAGACACCCTTGTCATCAGAACGTCCGAGCACTCCTCCTGCCCTTCTCATAAGCTTAGCAGACAGACCAATGCTGGCCTGTCCACGGTCACTCCGAGTCCTTGCTGTCCTTATCCTGCATCGGGGAAGCCAGCTTTGCCCTCCAGAGGACGGATGCCACTCCCAGGGCTTGGTCACAGAACAGAAAAAGGAGCTTGGCCCTGGTTAGAGACCCTGGGGAGGGGCGAGGTGAGTGGGACAGAGCCTCCAGGGGAAAGCTTCAAGACTGTCCAGAAGGTACCAAGATCCGCAAGGGCCAGGTGAGAGGAGCAGAGAACGCGAGCAGGCAGGACTCATGCCTCCCGATGTGATGCCTGGGAGGCAGCATTGGGAGAACTGGGAGTATGGAAGCTTCCCTCGGGGTAGCGGGTTATTCTGCTGTAGCTGATTCAGCAGGTCCCAGCTCCATCTCTTAGTAGCTGGGTGACAGTCAAGTCACAGCACATCCGAGCTTCAGATCCCTAGTCTGAGAACAGTAATGCCCACTTCTCAAGGAGTTGAAGGGATGTCACGTCTAAGAGACCCAGTGTGGGCTGGTGCCTGATTCCTGCACCTCCTTCTCTTTCGACCTTCCTGGAACGAAAGACCCAGGGGAACAGCTCACCGGACAACCGCATGCTCCGTGTCTGGCTTCCAGGCACTGGTGAGGTAGCTGGACCAGGGGCAGACCTGGAAGAGCAGGTGTGTGGCTGGCAGGACAGCTGCAAGCCATGCCAGTCCCTCCCAGCACCCTGGGCAGCATCCTTGCTGCTGGATCCCAGGAACTGCAGTCCTCGCCCTCTGCCAGTGAGCAGCTTCCGTGCCTACCACCCACCCCACCGTGGCGGGTGTGCCCCTTCAGCTCCTGGGCCCCTCCCAGCTCTCTACCTCTCTGTCCAGGAAGGAGGACAGCAAAGATGGCTCCGCCCCACTCCCTGGCACCTCACCTCGAAGTGCATGTCTTCTTGCCGCAGCCTGTTGTAGAGGGCCTCGTTTTCCAGAGTGTGGTAGCCGTGCCCCAGCCGCTCCGTCTTGAGTATGTCCACCGCCTACAGGGAAACAGGGTGGGGCTGGCCATGGGGTGGAGAGGAAATGTGGAGGAGGATCCCCGTGGCCAGCCCAGCCCCTCACCTCTCTCACCACCTCGGCCGAGCCCACCTCCCCAGCATGGACAGTGCGGTGAATGCCGCTCTTCACAGCCTCCTGGAAGAACAAGAGGCAGGTTATGGGTGGCTCAGGAGGAGGCCCCGGTAGGCCCTGCCCACACCACACTGAGTCATCCTGCTGCCACACTGGCCAGCTTCAAGCATGGGGAAGTCAGGTCTTCCCCTAATCCCTGTCTGAGTGGTAGCTGTCACTTACTAGACAGTTACCATGTGTCCAGCACTGAGTGAAATGGTTTGTATACACAATCTAACATTCATAACTTTATCCTACCCATTTTACAGGGGGTGTGGAGGGTTGAAGCTCAGGAAGGATAAGTAACATGACCAAGGTGGGGCAGGGAGGGTGGGACCGAGCCCTGAACCTGGTCAGCGGGACTCCAGGGTCCCCACTCTCAACTACTGTTCATGCCCCTTCCACAGGAAGTGCATTAGTCAGTAGGCTGGGAGGGACCTTCAAACGTCTGCTCCAGCTTATCCCAATAGAGGAAACAGGCCCAGAGAAGAGTCAGTCTTGTCCCAGGTCACAGCAAGTCACAGGAGCAGGTGCCAACACAAGACTCCCAGCTCAAGTGAGGGCTTGCCTTCTCGCCCAGTTCCAAGCCTCCAGACCCAACCAAGACATACTTGGGAACTCAGGAGACCCCTCCCTCATGTGACTTCTCCCAACTGTGGTTGCAGACAGCTCACCCAGCCTCTTTCCGCTGCTTCCCACAGGACCCACCTCGTAGGCCTGCACATGTCCTGGGAAGAGGCTGCTTCCCTGGATGGTCTCGTCTCCAGCCAGGTCGATGGCCACCACAGTCTGCTGCTGGTACTTCTTACACAGCTCCACTACCTCAAGGGACCAGGCTGGGGCGAGACGCCCCCCAGGGCTCTGTCAGCAGCACCGTGGAGAGACCTCCCAGCCCTGCTGCCTGTTGTCCCACCCCCACTCACCCCACTCCCTACCCAAGGCCAGCGTAAAAGACAAGACCCAGTGTCTTGTCTTCAAATCCTGACTGCCACATCCTAACCACATGGGCTTTGGCAGTCTGCTCCACCCAGTGCTCCTGTTTCCTGTCTTCTCAGAGGGACCACTACCAGCTACCACACAGGGTGGTGGTGAGGCTTTTTGCTGAGGCCATGTGTGGACAGCACCCTGGACAGGGCCTGAACTCAGTAAGTGACAGACGGGCTGTTCGCTCACCTAGTGCCCCAGTCCTGAAGGGACGCTTGCCACATGCAGGAGAGGAGAGGGAAGACCATGCAGTTCCACATTTAATCTAAAGTGTAACTCACACTAGTATCACTAGACAGGTTGCTAATGGTTTATGTACTCATTACTTTTTAAAATGAAGAGTTTAAAAAAAAAGAATGAACAAAAGCTTTGGAACCAGATGGCCCTAGACTCAAATCCAGGCTTTGTGCCTTTCTAACTGAGGAGCAAGAGCACCTCTCTCTGCCTCAATTTCCTCATCTGTCAAATAGGAGTAAACAATGGTGGATCTACTTCACAGTCTGCTGCAAAGGCTTAGAGAAAAGACATGTGAGTTGTTCTGCACACAGCAAGCTCAGTCGATTGGTATTGACCTTTTGCTTTGATTCCCACTAATCTTTAGGGTGAAGAAATGAAATCCAATTATCTCCTTGTGACAGTACATAACTAAGCCCAGAGAGGTAGTGTGACCTGCCAAAATTCACACAGTGGGGCTCTGCAATGAAGCTCAAGCCCTAGAGATTTGGTCAGTGGCAATGACAAGGGACACCTCTCAGAAGTCCTGATGTCAGACCTGTTCACTGGCTTTGGGGCCCCTACAGGACACGGTCTAGCCAATAACATCTCGGGAGGACCATGGGCTGACCAGAGCCGGTCCTAGGTTTTTTTTCCCCATTGTTCAAGCGCCTTTGGTTTGCACTTCCTGCAGGTCACCTGGCTGTCAAGGGCTGGTCTCGCTGGGGGGAACGTGGGTCAGGAAGTTCTGAGCCCACCTGGGCCTCCTGAGACTTCAGGAAGCCCCAAGAGCCTGCTGATGGGCTCCAGGGGATCTCACGGGGTGGGGGCCACAAGGGAGATAGGGCCCAGCCCACGCCATCTGGGCCAAAGGTCAGATGAGCAGCCTGGCAGGGCGACGATCCTACTCACTGGGCTGGTGGCGCATGCAGCACAGGATGGACCGGGCCTTCACCCCGAAGTCTCGTTCCCCCTCCTGCAGGCCCTGGCTCACAAGGGCCACCACCTCTTCTGGGGTGAGGTCCCCTCTGTGTGGGGAGAGGAGCAGGAGGGGCCTGAGGCAAAGCGAAGCCCCGAGGGGCAGCCTTGGGACTGGGCCGGGCAGGAAGAAGAGTCTCTTGGGGGACCCTGTGCCCCTACTGACCTACTTTCTCTGAGCAGAGGCTGACAGAGGGGAGCCCAGGCCTGGGCACACCCTTCCAGCCTGCCAGTGCAGTGTGGACACCCTGGATCCAGTGCGATGTATGTGGGGTGTCCACCTCCCACTCCCAGATGGAGAGCAGGCCAAGCTTGGGAGGGCGTGACTTCTGCCTTCCACGCAGATTAGAATCACAACTCAGAAGGCAGGGCAAGGTGATGCCCCATAGAGATCCGTGAGGGTGCAGGCAGGGGGCCAGACTCATTTAGTTACGGGGCTAGAGCAGGATGCTGGACGGCACATGCTCAGCAGGTTAACATCCCCGGCAGCAAGTCTGTGTCCAGAGCAGTGAGTCGCAAGACATAGCCAAGTACTTGCCCAGGGTAAGAGAAACCACGTCTCTTGTGACAGCATTAAACCCACCATTCTGAGTCAAGGGCCAGGCTGGGGGCAAGACTCCCCACAGCCTGCCCCTTCCATCTCAGGTGGGGCCACCCACCAGCCCTCAGCACAGCCCCCCGGGCTGGCACTCACTCTGCCTGGTTCCAGGGAATCGGCTCCACGCTGGCGTTGGCCAGCAGGTGCGGGCTGTAGCGCACCTCCACGTACACCACACCCTCCTTGGCCTTCATCTCTATGAACTCGTAGGCGATCCTTTTGATGGCCTCCCGGGAGCCCCTGGCAAAGGAAGAATGCGCTTGGGGACAACTTCCCAAGTCCCTAGGAGCTGCAGGAGCAATGAGGCCACCCACCCTTGGCAGGGTAGACCCGCCTTCAGTCCCCAGCATCTGCCGGACAAGATAAGGTCCAAGACGCTTGGCAAGTCCTGGGCTTCCTCTATCCTGGCCTGAGCCGCACCATCTCTAGCCAGCCTCCCTGGCTCCACGCCTGCCTCTTGACCCTGTCCACTCAGCAGCTAGAGCAAGCTTTTAAAAAGGCAAATCAAGTCGGGCTTGGTGGCTCAGCCTGTAATCCGGCGCCTTTGGGAGGCTGAGG